TAATATTCAGGAAATAAAATATCTCAATGCCTGCTGTCAAGACCAGCACATTCTCTGAGTACATGATAGAGAGTGTACAGAAGACCAGAGGACAAGGAATCTACTCCTTCATTGTGTCTTCCCACTCTCCCATGTCTGTTCCAGAAGGAGGCTCCCCAGCCTGGCTGGAGCCACAGCAACCACAGAAGGACAAGAGCCAGGACCCCTGGCAAGTTGTGCTTGTGCAGGGGCTTGGGCTGCTGGGCTGGGCTGCAGGGGCTTGTGCTGCTGGCTTACCCCAGGCCTCTTCTGGCCAAAACACCCATATCCCCAGTTGTAGCAGCTTCTCCGGACCCCTCATTTCACCCCCACTCCTAATACCTCCTCCAGCAGCACCAGGTTTCTGGGAATCTGCGTGGAGCTCTCCAGTGGCTGCCGGGAATGTTGTGATGTGTGAAACTAAGCTGCTAATTATGGGGGCAATTCGTCATGTGGCCATAGATAACTAATAGAATGAATTAACCTTGCATGGACTAACAATAAACTACTCATCCTTTTTTTAAAAAAAAGAAAAAAATTTCAGTTATTTTCTTAAATATGATTTTGTAACATAAAAAAAAAGTATCGAAACACTACATACAATTTTATTTGTCACTCACACCTTGAGAAAACTGAAAAAAAAACTATATGTATTTTCTCTTCAAAGACTCATGCTAGAGACAGATTTCAGTCCTGTGACAGAGTCTATGGCAGTGTTCTCAAACTGCTCTTCATGTAAATGGTTAAAGAGAACCACACGTTCTCTGGAATATTTTATGAAAGCCATAGGGCCAAGGAAGCCACATTCCTGGTTCTTCCATCTACAACCAATAGCATGGTAACCTCTGTTTAGCCAGTAAGAAGTCTGAGTGTAGAGAAAGTTGAGAAACAGGTGAAAAGGAAAGATCTGAGCTAAACACATGAAATCAAAGAACCCCAGCACTTCACTTAAACCATAAAGTTGATGTAGACATGTGTGTGCTAGGAAGGTTCCAGAAGCATGGTGACATTTATTTGTTCATGAGAAGGAGAAGAACCCCTCCCTTTCAGCTCTGTGCTTCTTCAGGAAAACAGATGGCAGGGGGTGGAGAGGGGCATGGGATTTCAGAGATGTTACAAATAAGGTGGAAAATTTCCCAGGAATGTTTACCCGATTTTTGAACTACCATCTTCTTTAGGTAGGTCAGGAAACAAGGCCTACATTGAAAATGTGGAAAGAGAAAAATGGCCCCTAAGGTCCCAGCATGGAGCGTAGTACACTGGCCTTGAACACCTGACTCTCCAAGTGAGCTGTTTTCCCCCCTTCAGGGAAAGGGTCTTGGGCTATAAACCTGCCTCATGGAAGGTGCATTTTATATCTTACCACTTGGAGTGCATGTCCATGCTAATGGACAAAGGCCAGACCAGCTCTCTCCTGTTTATTTTCTAACAATACTGTATTCTCTTGGAAAACAAACATCCTCAAAGCCCCCAAGAACATTTGCATTTTGGTTGATAATGTGGTCACTGAGGAATACTCTTGTTTACTTTACAAGTAATTGCTTTGACTCAGAGAACACCTGTCTCTAGAAAAAGACCCTCTTCCTCAGAATATTGTCTGTATTTCCCCAGGGCCTTTGATAAACCAAGTCATGAAGGCTAGAGACCGGGTAGTACAATGTTCATTCCCCATGGGGAAGAGTCATCCCATGCATGTAAAGCAAAGCTTGGATTTACAAAAGTAGTTCTAGTAATAGTTCCTGAATTTGGAGGTTGAATGAGGCAGCATTGACCAACTACATCACAAACAAAAAATGAAAAATCAGTGGCATGTGAAAAGAAAAAGTCGTATCTCATTCTTGCTCCAGGCTGAAACAGAAATTCCTTGTCAAGTATTTCTCCTGGATGCCTCTTCAATGACGACTCAGGAATCCTGTCTCTTCCTTATCTTCCCCAGCCTCTCAATCCTCAGAGTTCTCCCCATTCAACTGACAGGTGGGGGAAAACAAGAGAGCCTTTGTTTCCAAATTGTGTACCAACATGTCTTGGGTGTGTGGTAGTGGATTCACAAGGGGGGCACAAGCTATTTAAAAATGTATGGGGAAACCCAGCAAAAATCAGCCTGTGCTGGACACTAAAAACAACTAGCTCAAGGTTAATTGCGATTTGATCATTAAATCAGGCCACACTCATTTCTACAGTGTTATATTATTTTATTGAATATGATTGACATAGAACATGTGTAAGTTTAAGGTGTACAACATATTGATTTGCTATATTTATATATTGCAATCTGGTTAGCACTGTAGAATTAGCTAGTACCATCGTCACACCTCATAATTAGTTTTTGTTGTGAGAATACTTAAGATCTAGTCTCTTAGCAACATTGTAGTTTTTAATAGAGGATTGTTGACTGTAATCGCTGTGCTCTGCATTAATTCTCTAGGACTTATTTATCTACTGGTTCCCCAGTTTGTACCCTTAAACAACATATTCCCAATCCCTCCCCTCTTGCCCCAGTCCCTGGTAACCATCATTCTTATCTGCTTTTGCAAATTCAGTTTTTTTAGATTCCACAAACAAGTGATATCATACAGTATTTATTTTTCTCTGTCTGACTTATCTCACTTAGCATAATGCCCCCAAAGTCCATCCATGTTGCTGCAAATGGCAAGATTTCCTTCTTTCTTGTGGCTGATTAATATTCCTCTGTGTGTGTGTGTGTGTGTGTGTGTGTGTAGATATTGATACTGATATTGATATCTATATATATTACAGCTTCTTTATCCATTCATCCATTGGCAGTCACTTAGTTCTTTCCATAATTTGGCTATTGTGAATAATGCTGTGATAAACAAGGGAGTGCATATATCTCTTTTAAACTTCTATTTTCATTTCTTGGCTATATATTCAGAACTGGAATTGTTGAACCATATGGCAGTTCTATTTTTAATTTTTTAAGGAACTTCCATATTGTTTTCCACAGTTGCTGAAAAAATTTACATCCCCACCAACAATGTGCAAGGATTCTCTTTTCCCCATCTCTCATCAACACTTATCTCTTTTCTTCTTGATGATAGACATTTTAACAAGTGTGAGATGACATTTCATTGTGGTCTTGACTTGCATTTCCCTGATTAGTGATGTTTAGCATGTTTTCATGTACCTGTTGGTCATTTGGAGGTCATCTTTGGAAAAAATATTTAGTTCCTCTGTCCATTTTTGTAATTGGATTTTTGTTCGTTTGTTACTGAGTTGTATGAGTTCTTCATGGTTTTGGATATTAACCCCTTATATGATATATGGTTTGCAAATATTTTCTCCATTCTATAGGCTGTGTTTTCATTTTAAAAATTGTTTCTTCTACTGTGCAGAAGCTTTTTTGTTTGATATAGTTCTGTTTGTCGATATTTGCATTGTTGCTTGGACTTTTGGCATCATATCCAAAAAGTCATTACCCAGTCCAATGTCAAAGAGTTTCTTCCCTATGATTTCTTCTAGAGGTTTTACAGTATCAAGTCTTACGTTTAAGTCTTTAATCCATCAGCAGTTAATTTTTATGAGGGGTGTAACAGAGGGGTCCAAAATTTCATTTTCCTGTATGTCACTGTTTAGCTTTCTCAACACAATTTATTGAAGAGACTATCTTTTCCTCATTGTTTTTTGTTCCCTTGTCAAATATTAGTTGATCATATATGCAGGGATTTATTTCTGGGCTCTTGAGTCTGTTTCATTGGTCCATGTATCTATTTTTATGCTGTACCATACTATTTAAATTACTATAAGCTTGTAGCCTTGTTTGAAATCAGGAAGTGTGATGCCTGGCTGTTTCTAAAATTCTTTATTTTTGGTTTTCGACACTTCCATTGTCATGTGTCTTGGAGAAGATCTTTTTGCATTGAGGTAATAGGGCAATCCATTAGCTTTGTTAACTCTGATATCCAATTCTTTTCCCAAGTTTGGGAAGTTCTCAGCTATTATTTCTTTAAATAAATGGTCTCCTCCCTTTTCCCTTTATAATACCAATTATTCAAATATTTGTTCTTTTGATGGAATCTCATACATCATGTAGGCCTTCTTTGCGGCTTTTCACTCTTTTTCCTTTGTTCTCTAACTGGGTTATTTCAAAATTCTTATCTTCTAATTCACTAATTCTCTCTTCTATTTGCTCTATTCCTTACAAATACTGTGTATTGGATATTATTATTTCATCCATTGAGTTCTTCAGCTTTAGAAAGTGTTTGGTTCTTTTTTTATAATTTCTATCTCTTTGGAAAAATCCCATTTTGATCATGTATTCATTTCAAGATTTCATTGAATTATCATTCTGAGTTTTCTTATAGCTCATTGAAGTTCTTCAAAAATGAGTATTTTGAATTCTTTATGAACTAGATCATGAAATTCTGTGGCTTTGAATTCAGCAACTGGAGAATTGATTTTTTCTTTTTGTGATAGCAAATTTCCTTCATTTTTCATGTTCCTTATAGATCTGCCTTGTTGCTTTTGCATTTGAAGTAGCAGACACCTCCTTAAATCTTTGCTAATTACCTTCAGACAGGGTATTCTATTCCATGATGTTGTTATTATCTGGGGTTTTATCTTTATATGGGTACCTGCCCCTCTTCTCTTGCTTCCTCTAGTGACAGGATTCTTAAGCATTTACATCTCTGGTTCTCACAAGTCACCAGGTTAATTACTGGAATCCTCCCTTTTCTTTCCAGAAGGTGGCACTAGAACTCAAATTTGCGGTTTCTCCATTGCCTGTTTTCTGAGCATGCTCTTGCTACTGGAACTCTCACCATCCCGCGTGGGAGCAGGCACAAGGAGTCAACCACAGAGTGGGAGGAGGTGTGGGTTTAACATCTGAGGTATTGGAGTGCCCGCAGACCCCATTCGGAGGTCCACCAGCATAATACTACCAGGGACCCATGGGTAGACTTTCTGTCAAGCACAGTCAGTTGGAACCATGTCCTTATCTGCCTCATTCCCAGTCACCACCTCCACCCACCCCCGGAGTTCCTGCCTCAGGACTCTGGGTGCTACTGGAGAGAAACAGATTTCTCCAGCCATGACCAGCATAGCTGGAGTAACTAGCCACTTACAACTATCCTTCTCCCTTGGAGGAGGGGTCACTATTACCAGATAAATCAACCGTGTGCAGTGTTGCCTTGGGGTGAGGGGGACTGGTAAACTTCCTTGTGCCAAAACCTTTGCTGTGACTAAATTCATATATTGTTTTCCTTGAATGTCTTGCTGTACCTTTGGATGGCTGCATTTCCATGTATCTGCCCAGGTCAGTACCCCTCTGGTTCTTTACTGACTGCAGCAAGAGGGATCTGGGTAGTCTTGCTGGCTTCCCTGATTCTTCAGCCTATAGGGTGGCCTGTCTGCTAATACTTAAATGCAGAGATAAATGAGACTCCTCCCACATTCCTAGGCATATGGTTCTAGGTCCCACAACACCCACAAAGGCACTTCTGTCTGTAGACGGTTGTCTGTTTTGTTGTTAAAAGGGGAGGGATAAAAAGAGGAACGTCTTATGACACCATGATGCTGATGTCACTGACAACGCTAGTCCTTTTTGAATCTAGGTTTTCAGCCATTACTATAATAAAAACCAAGTACCATATGAAAATCAATGTGCAACAGGAAATGAGCATCGTCGTGTTACTCTGATTCTCAGGTTTAAGAAGATATTCAGTGCCCAAACAGGCATACACATTCCATTAGTAAGTAACCATAATTAAGTATTAACTTATATTAATTATATACATATACATGTATATATAATTAAAATACATTATTTATATTTGTACTAATTAATACAAAAAGTAGTAAGAATTAATATTATTTGGCTTTGAATTCAGGTATATTATTTTTTCCAACATCATGAAGTTATGAAGATGTAAATATTTATTAAGTTGCTTGGGCCTAGCCACTTTATAACTGGAAATGTTACATATTTCTTTAGCCAAGAAGTAGCATAAAAATTTTACTAAGACTCCAGGAGCACCATGTACTGAGAGTGGAGGCTTGTGCTAGGAAATATTTAAAGGTCAAGCCCAGAAGTAGTATACATCACTTCCATCTGTATTCCACTGGCCAGAATTTACTCAGATAGCTACCTCTAAGAGCAAGGGCGGATGGAAAATGTAGTCTTGCTGTGTGGCCAGGAGAAAAAGGAAAACAATCTGATGAAAAACCAGTCATTCTCCACTGCGGAAATGTGCAAGCAGAGGCACAGAAGTGTTCCACATCTATAGTCTGAGTTGTCCTGAAAATTGATAGAGCATATGTTCTCAGTAACTCAGCAACTCCACTGTCCTTTCCATTCTACAGCTCTTGGCATCCACATTGTTTCACTTATTTCTCACAATCTCATGAGCTGGGCGGAGCAAGGATTATCTCCCATTCTGCAGAGTAAGAAATAAATCTCGAACAACTGGATTCTTTTAGGCCATCCGGGTAGTGAGGAACGGACGTCAGACTGAAACCTGAGTTTTATGCCACCTTCAAAGTTTCTTCTCCTGCTGTCAACTGCCCAGACAGTGAGAATTCACTGGGCAGGTGGGGGCTTGTGTTTAGCCACAGGGACGTGATCTATTGGGCAGGGTACTGGGATAAGCAGGAATGGGCACAAGGATTGTCAGACAAGCAGCTGTTGTTCTGTAGGTCGAAGATGGTCATGTCCTGAAGGGAACAGTTCTTGGGACATGAGACACTGTCATCCAAGGTACTATATTCTTCAGCTTGTCCCACACCAGCAAACTCACAGGAAGTGTCTGGCCTCACCCTCTCCCCAGCTCTGCGACTTGCACAGGCTTTATTCTGTCAATTCCGGTGGCAATTGATCCGGGAAAGAGGAGAGAGCGGCCACCCAAATCTCATCTACCAGTTGAATTGACTTATGATTTGAGCAAATTTGTCTTGAAGACTTTTTTCTAATATAATTGAGTTATATTAGAAAGTGTCTCTCTCTTTTTTAAGCTCATCACTAGTAATGGGGGGAAAAAAAAGGAGACTGGCCAAAAGCAGGGAACAAAGCCTTTCTGGGATCTGGAATGTACCAGTGAATAAGTCATGATGTGAATAATTTTTCTGTAGTCTGTATAAGCCTTTGTCTAATGGAGGTGGTTGCTTGGCCTCTTCAGTTCTCTTCTGCCCCTGTAAACAAGCAGCTGGAAGCACTGAACCTGAAGTACAATCTATAGTTTTCTTGCTCTGAATAGTGGGCATGTGGCAAGAGATTGATGAACTATTAAACATAGTTGAGAAGGAATTCTCTTGCATGGCCAATCTTTATGTTATTGTATTTTCTGTTCACATTTATTTTCTCCTTCAAGTTTTAAATGAAAGTCATTAGAGGCAGAGATTTCATCACTGGGTGTAGGTCAGAGGCAAATTGACTTTCTGGTATATTCCTTTTTTGAGTAGTCAGCTAAAAGATGCCAGGTTGGGGGTGTGTGCTCAGACATGATTTGAGACCAGGCTCTGGGAAGAAAACTGAGTTCCCTTATGCTTATCAGTGATTTATTGCTACTTGAACCAGAACTAGCTTGCCTGCAAAGCTATACTTACAGCTAGGCCATTGAGTCTGACAGGGCCAAAGCAAAAATTATTGATGAAAGACTAAGGACCACATGTGAGAAGTTTATTCTCTGCTTGGAATTTCTAGACGTGCACGCAAGTGGTTCACACAGAACGTTTACACCCTGCAGCTTTTTCTCGTCAAAGACACAGTGCTTTGGGCTGATGTGTGGAGTGCAGTAGAGAATTCCCAGTTTTCATTCCTGCCATTAAGGAGAAATCTTGTAGACATTTTCGTTCTTGTAAGATAACTTCACAGGAATTCAGTTTGTGGTAGTAGTGGTCCTCTTTGCTCATAAATATTCTGGGAGAGCCAGGGAAACAGCATGGACCTTGTCTCTAAATGTCGAAAAGAAGAATCCTAAAGTGTTCGGTGATTTGCTTGAACTCATTTAGTTGGGAAGAGATGATCACAAGCTAGACCAGAGTTTTCAAGGCCTAAAGAGAACTTCCCAGTGCTTTTGAGCTTTTGCATAACTGCGTCCCATTTCATTCATTCCTCACTTGCTCAGTAATCCATCCTATTTGAGAACTGCCATTTACTATTTGCCAGCTGTGTTACAAAATGCTTTATGTGCATTATGTCATTTAATCTGCACAGCAACACAGAGGGTGTTGATGACACCAGTGCACAGTGTAGAAAGTAGTTGCAAGCGAGGCAGAGCTGAGCTGACTCCAAAATCCATATTCCAAACCAGCATAAAGCTTTGTCTGTTTTGTCAGTCTGAAACAATAACTTTCCACTTCTCTTGTGTTGGTGACATATTTTTTCAAATAACAGAATTTTTGGAGGGAACTTGAAGGCATTTTAAGATTTAAAACTGTACAAATTAAGTCAGAAGTCACTTAGATATCAAGACTAGGTTATTTCCATGTGTCACAGATTCCAAAGAGAGTACCCACAGTTACCATACCATTCACCTGCCAGACCTACAACCTTGGGCCAGTGATTCTCTAAACAGAACAGTTGCTGCCCTGCCCAAGAGAACAAATTCACACATACTCCAAGAAGCACTGGGCTCTCTCTGATGTTGCCTTGTTCTGTTGTACCTTGTAAATTATAAGGAGTAAATTAAATTTACTCCTGCAAATCCAGAGGAAATTATGCCCTGCCCAATGTGTAGCCACTGATGGTCCTCGTTGCAACAGGGTATGTTTTTAGTTGTCACAAAACGTTTTTATAACAAAAGGTTGATGAAATTTGACCACCTACCTAAGAACGTAGGAGTGTGCTCCTGCGGACCAAATGAAAACCTCTGGAAACCACTGGTCTGAGGTTCAAGCTGGAAGCAAGCCAGGTGAGCCCTGCTCCTTATGTTGTAGGGCAAACAACACCGTGAAAATGACCCTTGTCAAACAACGGCCTTCCTAAACAAATGCAAAAAGCCCAAGTTTAATAGCTGAGTTGGCTTAGTGGAGAGGCAAGACATTTCTGTGTGTGACTTCTAGCTATAGAACCATTTGGTCAGTTCATGAAGAGAGTAAGAAATACCTTCATTGCTTTGGCATCCCCCTTTCACCCTTCATCCTAGCCATGATTTACAGTTTAGTGATCCTGATGAGATACATGCTGTTATTGAAGATTGAATAGTGTCTATTTTTAGGATTTATTTATTATTTATTGGACAGAGAGAGAGCAGGGGGAGAAGAAGAGGGAAAGAGGGAATCTCAAGCAGATTCCCCACTGAGTGCAGAACCTGAACCCACGATCCTTAGATTATGACCTGAGCCGAAATCAAGAGTCCCCCTTAAGCAACTGAGCTACCCAGGCGCCCCCTGAATAATGTCCTTTGAGGCAGCACAACATAGTGGGATGGTAAAGACTTAAAGACAATATAGCCCTTTAAATTACAGAACCTTGAAATTCTTGGGACCTGGATGGTTTTGTGACATTACAGTTATTTAATGTCTCTGAGTTGTCATTTCTATATCTGAAAAAAAAAAATAGAAGAAATAATGTCTACCTGGTAGAATTGTAATAAGAGTTAGAGTCAAGTGTGATGTCCGACAGTACAGTAGGTTTTCAAAAGGATGTATAACTGATCAAGTGAGAGAATGAATGAAGTGTGATGGGTTCTACCAGCCAAAGCTCTCATGCCCTGTGTCGTTCATTGTGATCATCTCTTCCCAGCTAGGTTAGTCCAAGTAAATCCCTGACAACTGGGTGAACTGTTCGTATTTAAATAACTTGAATTTTTAAAACTTCAGGATTTTTCTTTTCTACATTTATAAACAAGGACCAGCCTGTTTCCCTGGCTTTTCAGGGATCTTTATGAACATAGTGGATTACTAGTAATACATATGGAGTTCCTTTGAAGGTAACTAGCACAGTAAGTGATAGCAATTCTATTATAATTGAAGGGTGAAGGCATTCCTAGGTGTGAGAACATCTCTGGGTTTAGGGTGGTGATCAAAGACAATAAAATGTTCAGTGAGTGAAATGATTCTGAGAACAGATATTCTGAACAGCTATTCTGGATTATTTTTGTATAAAAAAATTAGAAAGTACCAACAACTCTTGGTTCGTTAGCAATAGTATTCAATCCTTTATGTGTACCAAGCCTCTGGATGTAGGATGGAAGAAATATAAAAGAAATAAAGATCATGATGACTTCAGAACAGTTCCCAAACAACATAAAATACCCTTATTTTATAATAAATAGCATTTTATATATATATATTGTGTTTTACATGTATTTTATAATATATGTTACTCCTATGCATAATATATATGTAATGCTGACATATATGAAAAATACACCACACTATAATATTGTAATACATACATTAAATATATTATTACATACATTACTATAATATTGTATATTATATATGTATATAATATTCCTGTGAGATTAGGCGATGCAAGCCAAGTGGCTATTTATTTGACAGATATTTACTGAGCACCTACTACATGTCAAGGGCTCAGCTACATGGCTGAGATTTGATGATAAGGAAGGCATATCTGGTCACCGACCTCCCTGAGCCCAGAGTTTAACGCAGGATAGAAATAGAGAGTTAAGGACAATACATGATGCTATGCTAGGAGTAGAATAGAATATTGCAGAAGCACAGAGGAGACATATGTAACCCACTGGAAGGTGGGAAGGTCAAGGGATTAGGGCAGACTTCTTGGGAGAAA